TTTTTTTTTTTTTTTTTTTTTTTTTTTTTTTTTTTTTTTTTTTTTTTTTTTTTTTTTTTTTTTTTTTTTTTTTTTTTTTTTTTTTTTTTTTTTTTTTTTTTTTTTTTTTTTTTTTTTTTTTTTTTTTTTTTTTTTTTGGCAGGTTAATTTTTCGGAAGGAGGACCTGGTTCCAATTCTACTGGAAGTGAAGTAGCATCAATGTCCTCTCAACTGCCAGATACACCTAACAGCATGGTAGCCAGTCCTATTGAGGCATGAGGAACATTCGTTCAAATCTCTGTTGTTGTTGTTTCTGCCCTTATCCTCATCCCATTGGAGAGAGTGGGAAAGTGAACGTGTTGTGACTCCGAAATTTAGGGGGAAAGAATATTTAACCACCCCGTAAGAAACCTAGCAAGGAGCTGTTCCATGAGATGAACGGAGTCATGTTTGAAAAGACAAGGTAATATGGTAGCAACACTGTGAAGACAATCATGGGATCTTACTAGAAAAAAATACTAAAAAGAACCACAAAACCCCCGCTTTTCAATGATCAGAGGAGGATCAAAAAGACGTTTTCCAAATGTAAAGGATTTGTACTCGTGGATCTCAAAAAAAAAAAAAAATCTTTTCATTTGACTGCACATCTTAGGGAGAAACCAAGGTAGAGGGACTTTCTATCTGGTCCCTCCCAATCCGAATGGTGCTGTTTCTATATTGGGGATAGCCTTGCCAAAAGAAGCTCCAGTAAGTTTTCCATCAACAGGAAAGAGACGATTCAGCCCTGCATTGTTGAAAGATTCCTTGCAGGAAGATGGAGCTGCATTGGTTTGCAATGTTGTTTTTAGTTTACTCTTGACAAGGGGTTGTTTCCTGGGTCTCTTCTAGCATGTCTGTAGCGGGATTCTGATTTTGTTTGGTTGAGATCCACCCCCTATTAGGTCTGAAGTGATTAAAAATAGATTTTCAATTTCCTCTTTAAAACAAATTTATAAAAACATTGCAACAAGGTATACCTCTATTTTGCCACAAAGCGTCTCGGGATTGTGTTTGAAATGTGTCTGCCCAAGAACCTTCCCCTCCCCCAAAGATGTGTATAGTCATTGGTTATAAGGACTGTTCTTCTCTCTTTCTCTTTCTCTTTCTCTCTCACTGTCTAGAAAAAAAACAGGAAAAAAGTTAAAAAGAAAAAAAAAGAAAGAAAAAAAAAAATCACTCTTTTTGTTTGCTCTTGCATTGCAAAATTATAAAGTAATTTATTATTTATTATCGGAAGACTTGCCACTTTTCATGTCATTTGACTATTTTTGTTTGCTCAAGTAAAAAAAAAAAAAGAAAAAAAAAAGAAAAGGTTGTACCGTGGTCTTTGAATTATATGTCAATTCTATGTGGGTTTTGTCCTTTTTCTTTCCTTTAATATGATGTGAAATAAAAGCGCCATATGTAGAATTATTATATCTTCAGGACTATTTCACTAGATAAGCGTTTGAAATAGAGAAAATAATAATAATATTAACATTAAATAATGAACAAAGTTCCCTCTTTTAAATATTTACAGGTTAGCAGCTAAAATACCTGAAATAAAATATTGCATGCAAAGCAGGTCGTTAGTGAATAAAAGGAGTGTGATATTTTATTGCAAGTATTAACGACCAGCTTGTAAATTTCCGTTTCAACAACTGTATCAGGGCTAGCTGGATGCCTTAGCTTTCAATTGATAAGGTTAGAAAGTCTCTTGTTCCACCCCACCCCATCCCTTGCCCTTAAAAGTGATATTACTCTAGGCATGATCTGACATAACGTTAAAACATCTAAAGAACTGGGAGCTCAGGCTTTTTGCTGAGTTCTACTATTTTTAAAAAATAATAAAAAGAAAGTGCTGTATACCAAAGCCTCGTTGTTGAGATTGTTGAAGTGACCTGTGCTTTAAGTATAAGCTCCTGATAAAAAGGACGCTTTTTGCTTAACAAGTCAAGTATGACCATTATTTATCAGTGTCTGCTGTCAAAACAATTAAATAATGCTGCAGGAGGAATAGTTGTGGGGATATTTCTGTCGGGGATATTGCTGTGAAATTGCACGAATATGTTCCTTATTTTCTGTCGACTTCCCTCTCTTCACTCCGTCTTTTCTTCCTTTTTTTAATTTGTGGGGCAGAGGGGTGGTGAAAGCTTGAAACGTGGGCGATTGTTTTGGGGAAAGTAGAAAGAAGTAAAGAGATAAACGGGAAAGGGTTGTTTTTGCTCTAACCAAGTGCTCCCCAGCGCTCCCGGGCAGCACAAGACAAAGGTTCGCTTCAAAACACCCTTAAGGACTGGAATATACAGAGAATTTTAGTCTGACAAAGACAAGTTGGTTTGCATGTCAATTACTCCAAACCCCAATGTTTTCTTAATATAACCTTCTTTTCCCTCCCTCCTCACCATCTCAGCCCACCCTGAGCAAGCTCAGCTATAGACAAACCATTTCGACAGTACAGAGAACATTAAAAAAATGTTTAAAATCTAATACAAGGATTTTAATCATCCTGATTAGAAACTGGATTCATTTTGTATGCTCAAGTGTAATACATTTTTGAGTACTTGATAAATATTTAAATAAATATGAAATCTACCTTAAACTGTGTGATCAGTAACCCTTGTGTTTTCATGCAGGATCAGAGGATTGGTACGGCGCTTCGGGGGGCGGGAGGGCGAAGGGGTGTCATTTCTGCCCCGTAGTCTGACGTGTAAGTTGTTGGAGTCGCTCTTACTTGGGTGAGTTTGGAGACGCAGTCTCCGACTCGGGAGGGTCTTTAAATGGCGCTGGGAACGTGTAAGGTCAGGGAAAGCAATCCGGAGCAATCCGGAGACCTTTGCCTTTGGCTCTTACCTCCAGGAGGCTTAACGCGTAGGTGGGAAGAGCGGCGGCTCCGCGGGGTTGCGCGGGGGGAAACAGGGACCCCGAAAGAGAGCAACCTGTGTGCTGCTGAGAGCCGCCTCCCTCCCCTGGGGAGGACCTTGAGGCTGGTAAATGTCTGTCGGCTCTGAGGGCCGCGCAGGGAGGGTAAGGCGACTTTTGGTGGGGGGAAGCCCCCCAGCCCCGGGCCCCACGGTCCTGGTGCGCCCTCTGGGCGGCTGGGGCAGTCGCCGAGATTAGCCGCGGAGGGGCTGACGTTCTGGCGGCCAGCGGAGAGTCTTGCGCCTTGAAACACACAGGGCAGCAGCATGCCTGTGGAGTCAGAGCGCTGTCGCGGTTATGCAGCGGGCTGAGGGTAGGAACCCCGCTGGGGATGGGCCTGAACTCACACCTACCACGAGGCTCCTGCCTGCAGCCCCGCGGGGGCCTGAGACCCCCAACCCTGTCCAGGGGGAGGGGGCAGGCGGATCGCTTCTGCGACAGCCACTCGGTGGTGGTCTCTGCTTCCCCCCCGGACACTGCAGACTGGAGATCACCCCAGAGCCTCCACCCTCGAACAAAATTCGCCTTATTTTAAGATTATTTCTTTTATGGCCTTTGGTTCCCTTTTCCATGACATATAGCACACTGCAAACCTTCGAGTGTTTTCTGCCGTGGAGCGAATAAAGACAAACTGTCGAGCAGATTCTCCCAGTGCCTTCAGGAGAACACCCTTCCTGAACTTGGGCAGCAGGATTTGTGTAAGGGAGAGAAAAGCTCCTCTTCATGAAATGCACGTCCTTATGGCGCTCTGTCAGGTTCCTGCTCTCATTTCTCTTTCCAGTATGGACGAGGGTGACAGTTAGCAGTCCCAGGTCTGTCGGTTTTCTTCTTGCTGCAGCTACGTTTGATAATGTCAGATAAGGCCTGTTAAAGCCTGCTGTAATTTCTCTGAGGATTTTGTTTGCACACCCTGAGATCAATATTCAAACTCTTCTCATTTCAATATTTGTACCAGGTTAATTAGCTCTCAGCATTCCCAGCCAACGTGGCAATGAGACGCAGAAGCCGGGTACATGAATTCCAGAGTTGAGATCAGTTAAACATCTCAACAGTAAGTGTTTGCCTTTATATACATATCTATGCATACATATCTTAACAAATTCACGTTGGGTCACCCAAGAATGGATGTCAGGGAAGGAATCAGGGTCCCTCCGACAGTGCTGGCCCTCAGGTCGCAGCGCAGCAGCCGCAGCGAGCAGCCGCGGGGCAGCTCCCGGGACGGAGCCGTGGTGCCTTGGAGTGGGTTTCACGAGCACCCATCCTCCCTGGCCCCGTCTGCACGCCCGAAACGCCTGCAGCGTTTTAGGGTGAGAGATGCCGCTGCTGGGCCCTCTGCGTGCTTCAGCGGAGCTGTAAGTAGTTAATAAAGGGGCTGGAAAGAGATCCTGTTTACTGATTGTTCCTGATTGTTGTTTTCTTGATAACAGCGCAAGCCACTGAATGACTATTTGAGCTCAGGCGCCACAAACATAAACTTAACAGCTCCCAGTGTGCCGGCCCTGCTAGAGGATCACTCCTCACCTCCCGGGGCTTGTGAAGTGCAGGCAGAGAAGGTAGCTCCCAAGAGAGGCAGGCTCTGGGGGAGGAGGGGGGGGAGCAGTGAGCGGAGGAGGCTCGCCTGTATACCCGACCTCTCCATGTTGCACACAATCTGCCGCCTTATGAGGGCCTTGCCAGCGGCAAGGGTCGTAAAATAGGTGCCTTTCTCCAAGCCTTCTGCCCTTGCCGGAGCTCAGGGTAGGCTCTAATCTCCGCTCTGCCCAGCATCCCAGCTGAAAGATGCTGCTTTTACAACACGCTGTTGTTTCGTTTGAATTTCCCTTAAATTTTCTCTCAGTGGCTAATAGACACTGAACAAGTGCTTTTTCGAGACTGGGGAGGGAGAGTGATGGAGGCAGGGAGGGCGCGCAGCATCGCCGCATCAAACCTGCGCGCCGGGCCCGGTGTTGTGGGATTGGCGGCACCGGGACAATGATCCCATCGGCCAGCCCGGCCACGCTCCGCCGCGGCTGCCGCTGGAGGAACCACCTGCAGCTCCTGCTCTCTTCTTGGGTGTGTAGTGCTGGGAAAGAAGGAAGGAGGGGAGTTGCAAAACAGGGTATTTGCTGGAGTGTCTCTTTGCCCCCCCTTTTTTAAAAAATATTTTATTTTATTTTATTTTATTTTATTTTATTTTATTTTATTTTATTTTATTTTATTTTATTTTATTTTATTTTATTTTATTTTATTTTATTTTATTTTATTTTATTTTATTTTATTTTATTTATTTTCTCCTGGCAGACAAAAAAAGGGTAAAGTGTGCTTGAGGGGGAGAAACAGAGGGTTGAAATCTTTCCAGAAATAAGTTACACGCACCAAAAGAGAGCTCGGTTTCTATCTCCGGGAAGACCTCGGGCGGCAATGGGAAGAAGAAAATAGGGTGTTTCTGTGGCTTTTCTTTAGGAGGGTTGTTCAGGTCGGTAGATCGCCAAGGCTAATCCAAACAACCCGTTTGACTTGTGAGGTCCGGTGTCTAGACATAGCTGGTGACTAGGCGGCTCCTTATCTGGTTTTGGAATCAGCCAAAAGAGACTTTTCTTAATGTCCACAGCAGCACTAGGATCTGCCGGGGAGCCACCGCACCTCGCAGACAGGACAACAAATACACCCACCACCTGGAGGCTTTACAGCCCACTTTGTTGTTCCCGGGCCGCCGCGGCTGCACCCCAGGCTCCTCCAGCCCCGGCCGCCGGGCAGGAGCGACCAGCCCTCTGCTCAGTCGAACCTACACATCTCTGTTGCCACTGCAGCTGCTCCGATTGCTCCTCGGCCACCGAAGTGCCACCTCAGCGGCAGGATGTGGCAGTGGGCCCTTGAGCCCAGCTGGAGTCAGAACTGCTGATTTCCCCACCCTCACCAAAATCACCCCTCTTCGTGTGTATGTGTGTGTTGCTACAAAATTTTTAGGACTTTTTTTCCAGTTGAAATTTTGCAGACAGTGGGGAAAAAAATATCCAAACTCACTCGTGTTCACCAATATTGAAGCAAATGAATTAAATGAGAGGAAGTCAGTTTAGAAACAAGATCTTCTTTGGGAGTAGAAAATTATCTTCTGTATTAGTTCCCTTTATGGTGGATTTGTGAATATTGCAAGCTGTAAAGCTTGTTTGAGGTGATTAGGATCAATAAAAGCATTTAACTCAAAAGTAAAAAGCATTTGAAAGCAGAGAGA